AATTAGGTAATTTCCTTATTTAGAATATAAGCAATAAGGTAATTTCCTTATTTAGGAGGTAGTATTCCTATAAGTAGATGTATCTTGTAAAGCATCAAAGTATGAAGAAAGAATTTTCCTCTCTTTGTTTATGTTTTCAGCAATTTAATTTTAGAACATAAAAAATAGTGTAGAGATGAAGATCGTTTGTCAATTCGATTGATTCAGTTTTTGCTACCAGTGAGAATAAACCATCAGTTATATGAACTGAAGAGTGAATGTGATACATTATTGGGCTCCGAGAAGGTATTTAGGAATTGGATTTGGCGAGGAGGTGGTTGTTGAATAGCAAGAGAAGGCTAATATGTGTGGTTGATGGTATTTGGGATGATGATAGAAGCTGAAATCTGCAGTTGGAAAGTAGATTCAGAATGTTTGGCAACTATCCTGGCAAAAAATGACTCGAACGAGGAAACAACGAGATACAGATGGGATGGTGAGGAGATTCCACCTCGTCCTGAACAGGATATAATCACACTACTTGAAAAAGGATACAACGCTCCATTATGGTAGAAATAAGATATATTACTCTAAAAAACAAAACAAATCAAAAACCTCTATAAACCAAAAAATAAAAACATATAAATTATTCCCTACTAGATAATAACCTAATTATATATGAAAAAAATAGGAAATAAAAAAATAGGAAATAAATCACACAAAAAAAGAAATATGTTGAAAATAGGAATTTTTGGATGGCTCTAATGACTGCACTATAACACATATCACATTTTTCTTGTGATAGTGTGTCTTGGGCCCGTTACTGTAACAAAATTGTGATTCCCGCTATTACGAGAGTTCTACATCGCGGAATGCGGAAGTTCTGTGCTCTGTGACTACAACTTCCGTGTCAAACCAATGCATGGATTATAATTTTTGAAGAAGTTGATATCTCCCGTCATATGATTTGAGGCTCTAGAATCAATTATCCAAAATTTTAATTTATTTCTTTGGATGCTAAAAATATGGGATAAGATATATTGGTGTGCTAACAGGCTAATAGCTTGTTGAGTAGATTTTGATGCTCCTCTTGAATTGGAACTATTACCATACATTTTCTGTAGTATCTCAATTTGCTCCTTAGTGAACGGGTTGAATTCTGAATTATTTTTGGTTTTGATAGCAAAATTTGCTCGGCTCTCCCTATTATATCTTTCATTGGATGGCTTTCAATCTGCAGGTTTACCATGTAATTTTCAATATTTTTTTTTATACTTTACCAGGTTTACAATAGCCGCACCACGGTCTCCTATGTTGGCCTTGTTATTCTTAGAGAAACTTTGAGTATACAAGGCTGATCTTTCAACAGATAGTGTGGTGTGATTGTCTGTCATCATCAAATTCTTTCTTCTCTCCTTTCTTTGAACTTTTGTAATGACCTCTAGAGTGATACGAATGGGTTTAATTCCCATGATTCTCCCCCTAACATCGTCTTGGTCTTTCTTTAAGCCAAGGTGGAACTTGATGTTCTTTTTTGTTCAGTAATTCTTATATACAAAACAAAGACATCAGGGCATTTCAAAGAATGAACCTCATACATGTCTAGTTGCTGCCAGTAGCATATAAGTGTTAAAATATTGAGTTACTTTCGATTGGCCTTTTTTTAGATCATGTAGCCTTGTCTCTATCTCAAATAACTCTGAAGAGTTTTCAGTGTTAAAGTAGGTTTTACGTGCAATTTCTCCTATATCTTTTGCTATCCTATAGAGTTGGAAGTTTTCTCCAACCTCTCTAGTCGTCAAATTTATTAACCTTGACATTATCATGTGGTCATTAGATTTTCAGGCCCAATATTTGGAATCATTCATTTATGGAGTTGAAATTTTACTTGTGAGATGTTCATTTTTCTCTCTACCACAGATTTACATGAAGATAGACTGTAACCTTTGAAAAAAAAAATGATAATGGAGTTTATGGTTTGTGACTATATGAGAGGAGTTTTTAGGTATGATAGGGATTGAAGGCATAGGCGCGGATCTAGAGATAACTTCGGAGAAAGAAGATTATAAGGTTATGTTGTGTTTGGCCATTCTAAGATTGTGAAGCCCGAACCGAGATGACCTGCTGCTCCGAATAAAGTGAGAGGACCCTTAGTTTGACTGCTTGATTGGACGGCGAGCATTAACTAGAGAGGACCCTTAGCTCGACTTTTCAACTGGATGAGCGAACATGAACTAAAGGGAGGTGCACAACTCTCAATTTCCTAGAGTTTGGCACAAGGAAAGAGGTGTTTGGATCGTTTGTAAGTTGATGACTCGTGAGGGTGGCTACAGCAAGCCAAATCGATTGTAGGTTGAATCAATTGTTGCTTTAGCAAACCTCACTGAACCAAAGAGATCTACTTGAACTGTTCAAATAGAGCGTTCTGGTGGAGTGGAAGAGACAAATTGAAAGGACTGTTCTGTTCTAGCAAATGAGTTGGATGATGAGCACTGTGATCCTGTTTGAGGCGATAAAGCAACGACCTCGAGCGAAAGAGATGAACAATGAATTAAAGACGAAGCAGTGACCTTGAGCATTGAATGGCAGCGTCGGAGATTTCTATGGTTTGGTCGTCATTGAAGGTGACGAGAAGGCTTGGTTTGGAGCTTAGTTGGATGGAGTCATTACTAGAGACATGGAGGACGACTTGGAACTTTTGAGCTCGACGATTTTACAGGGGGTGGAGATGGAGCAGGCTCATAAATTGGGTTGTGGCCTCGAATGCAAACGGAATATGTTTCTCATATCTCTAATACCATTGTGAAATTCTGGAAAGAATTTTGTTTCTAGTTCACTCTAATTCATTGCAATTTAATAATATGTATATATATATATACAG